AACATGGATGGAGTTAGAGGGTATTATGCTCAGTGAAATAAGCCAGGCGGAGAAAGACAAGTATCAAATGATTTCACTCATCTGTGGAGTATAAGATCAAAGAAAAAACTGAAGGAGCAAAACAGCAGCAGACTCACAGAACCCAAGAATGGACTAACAGTTACCAAAGGGAAAAGGACTGGAGTGGATGGGTGGGAAGGGAAGGATAAGGGGGATGGGGGAGAAAGGAGGCATTATGATTAGCATGTATAATGTGGGGAGGCGTGGGGAGGCATGGGGAGGACTGTACAACACAGAGAAGACAAGTAGTGATTCTACAATATCTTACTACGCTGATGGACAATGACTGCAATGGGGAATGTCAGGGGAACTTGGTAATGGGAGGAGTCTAGTAAACATAATGTTCCTCATGTAATTGTAGAGTAATGAGATCAAAAAAAAAACCAACAAGACTGTAATCAGATGAAAATAGAATTTCATAAGTCATCCATTTACTGGAATGTATTAATGGCTTTCTCATAATCCACTGATAATTCTTGGTAAACACAGACAGACACATACACACTCTTTTTTTCTTGCTCCACTTAGATTCTGTCCACCTCATGTATCTTTCTCTGGTCTTGTCCCTAGAATTTGTACCCATCCATATAAACAATAGTACACTTACAGGAAGCTTTTTGCTTTCAGTCTTCACTCAAAGTTCTTCACACAATCTGGGAACATGGAATTACTGGATAATTATGCTATTATCTCCTACCATGTTGCACAGCGGGCCTGAAGAGCCAACAGAATGGTAAAACACAGAAGAACTCAGAAAAGCAGCTACTCCACAAAGCACTAGAAAGTCTCAACCCAGGTTTGCAAGCATACTCTTTAGCCAAATGTGCCATTCCATCCATGTCCAAGTGTTAACAGTGGTATTTCCACAAACATCACGAATATCTCTACAAATTAAGTATCAGTATCAAAGTTTAAGACTCTGGAACAGCAGATCACTATTCACTACCATCCCTGGCTGCACAGTACAATCACTTGGGCAACTTCTAAGAAACAAAACCAGGTCCTAGTAAAATCAGAGATGCTCAGACTAGGACCCAAACATCAATATTCCTTTTAAAAGTTCTCAAAGGATTTCCTTTCAGATCAGGAACAAGACCAGGATGCCCACTCTCTTCACTTTTATTCAACCTAGTTCTGGAGGTCCTAGCCACGACAATCAAACAACACAGAGAAATAAAAGGCATCCATCCAGATTGGTAAGAAGTTAAACTGTCACTGTTTGAGATAACATGGTATTGTACATAAAGACCCTAAAGAATCCACCCCAAAACTACTAGAACTAGTAACTGAATTTGCCAAAGTTGCAGGATAAAAAATTAATACACAGAAATCTGTTGCATTCCTATATACTAATGATGAACTAGCAGAAAGAGAAATTAAGAAAACACTTCCATTCATAATTTCATCAAAAAGAATAAAACACCTCAGAATAAACCTAACCAAGGACGTGAAAGAGCTATACCCTGAAAACTATAAGACACTCATGAGAGAAATTAAAGACAACACCAATAAATGGAAACACATCCCGTGCTCATGGATAGGAAGAATTAATATTGTTAAAATGGCCATCCCGCCTAAAGCAATCTACAGAATCACTGCAATCCCTATCAAAATACCAACACCATTCTTCAATGAACTAAAACAAATCCTTCTAAAATTCATATAGAACCACAAAAAACCCTGAACAGCCAAAGTAATCCTGAGAAAGACTAAAGCTGGGGGGATTATGCTCCCTGACTTCATGCTCTACTAGAAAGCCACAGTAATCAAGACAATTGGGTACTCACACAACAACAGACCCGTAGATCAATGGAACAGACTACAGAGCCCAGATATTAACCCAAGTATATATGGTCAATTAATATATGATAAAGGAGCCACAGATATACAGTGGGGAAATGACAGCCTCTTCAACAGCTCGTGTTGGCAAAACTGGACAGCTACATATAAGAGAATGAGACTGATTACTGTCTAACTCCATACACAAAAGTAAACTCGAAATGGATCAAAGACCTGAATGTAAGTTATGAAACCATAAAACTCTTTAAGACAACATAGGCAAAAATCTCTTGAATAGAAACAGGAGCAACTTTTTCCTGAACACATCTCCTCGGGCAAGGGAAACAAAAGCAAAAATGAACAAATGGGACTACATCAAATGAAAAAGCTTCTGTACAGCAAAGGACACCATCAGCAAAACAAAAAGGCATCCTACAGTATGGGAGAATATATTTGTAAATGACATATCCGACAAGGGGTTAACATCCAAAATATATAGAGCTCACATGCCTCAACACCCAGAAAGCAAATAACCTGATTAAAAAATGGGTGGAAACAGCATATGCTGATTGATAAAATAAATTAGAAAATGCAGAAAAAACATTGGTAAAATACAAAAACAATGAATTACTAAAATTATGGTCTTACTGGAAACACAGCCTTTCGTGACTACTGGGATTAGGGAATGAAAGACAGTAATATACCTTTCTGCCAGGAAGTCAAGTTGAAGCTGTAGTTGCTGACTGCAAATCTATACTCCTTCCTTTGTGCCTTCTGAAATTTGATTTAAATCAAATAAAATGCATATGAATGAGGAAAGTCACTCCTGTTACCTGTCTGCAGTGGTACTCTGGGTTAACTGCTCCAAACTAGCAATGCAAGGCTGCCTCCAGAGACACAACCTTCAATAAGCCCCCTAACAGTTACCATCATTCCCTGAGCTATCTCCTTCCCTCACATTTTAAAGCAGAAATTGATTCGGAGCTGAATTGGAGTAGTGTGCAAATACAGATGAGAAAGACCAAGTGGAGACTAAAAGGAAACAATAGTAATATGGCAATATTAAGCCTACCATTTATTTGGCAGAGAAACAGCTCTTTCTTTGCACCCCCAATCTGCTGTGGGTTTCTCCGCATGTATAGCAAGACTATAAAAATCAAGGAATCTGAAGTTACCACTTTTGATTTTAGTAGGGGCTAAGAAAAGAGAGGAACAAAGGAGATGCAGTGATTCGGCAGGGAAAAATAAACCATTTCAATGCTCCCCCTCAAAAAAAAATGGGTGGTGGATATGAACAGACACTTCTTCAAAGAAGAAATTCAGATGGCCAACAGGTTCATGAAAAGATGCTCCACATTGCTAATTATCAGGGAAATGCAAATTAAACCCACAATGAGATATCACCTACACCAGTTAGGATGGCCAACACTGAAAATACTAGGAACAACAAATGCTGGTGAGGATGTGGATAAAGGGGAACCCTCCTACACTGCTGGTGGGAATGTAAATTATTTCAACCATGTGGAAAGCAATATGGAGGTTCCTCAAAAAACTAAAACAGAAATACCCTTTGACCCAGGAACTCCACTTCTAGGAATTTACCCAAAAAAAACAAGTTCTCAGATTCAAAAAGACATACGTACCCCTATGTGTATTGCAGCACTATTTAGAATAGCCAAGATATGAAAGCAACCTAAGTGTCCACAGTAGATGAATGCATAAAGAAGATGTGGTACATATACACAATGGAATACTATTCAGCCATAGAAGAAAACAAATCCTACCATTTACAACAACATGGATGGAGCTAGAGGGTATTATGCTGAGTAAAATAAGGCAGGCAAAGACAAAATGATTTCCCTCATTTGTGGAGTATAACAACAAAGCAAAACTGAAGGAACAAAACATCAGACTCACAGACTCCAAGAAGGGACTAGCAATTACCAAAGGGAAAGGCAGGGTGGGGAGGGCAGGGGGTGGGGAGGGAGAAGGGGATTTGTGGGGTATCATGATTAGTGCACATGGTGTGTGGGGATCACGGGAGGACAGTGTAGCACAGAGAAGACAGGTAGGGACTCTGTGGCATCTTACTAGACTGATGGACAGTGACTGCAATGGGGTATAGGGGGGATTAGATAGTAAGGGTGAATGTAGTAACCACATTGTTTTTCTTGTGAAACCTTTACAAGAGTATATATCAATGATACCTTAATAAAAATAAATAATAATAAAGTAAGATAGCATAATAGCACCTCAATAATCCTGTTCAGCTGAGAAATCAGGTATTAAGGCAATATGAAAGAAAATCTTCCAGGGGTCAAATGTTTTTGGTTCCAGTCCTTTTTGATATAAATGCCTTCTAAAATGCAATACATACTTCTCTCCCCTGGCAAATACAATGGAACAAAATCTAACCTTTTCTGAATCTACATCACTTATAGCCACATGAGGGGGGTGTGGGAAATTAATTTGAATCTATTCTAACTCCAGGACATACCTAGGAACTTGCTTTCCCAAATCAATTCATCTTATTATCATCTTTCTTGTACTCTTTCTCAAGAGACCATATGTGTCTGCATGACTTCTGGGCAGCATGATATGGCCATGTTCCTAAAATAATTTCTGAACCCAAGGACAATGCAACCTTTTGCATTGATTTTTAAGTAATTGTCATTTATTTAAAAATCATCTGCATTGCTTATAATCACAGACTCTTTTTTTTTAGGGGGGGCCTTTCAACCCCAAGCCTTATGCAGATTAAACACTGAAACCATTCTTGATTTTCAATAGGTTGCAGAATGACTTCTATGCTATCTTGAATAATTAAGGGACCACCATACCCACCTGAAACATCTGCTGATGTTAGCATGCCATTTTATCAGGTGCCAAGAAAAAGGAAAGAAAAGGAAAAGCAGGGACTATTTCCTGAGTTTTAACAAAAATTGGTAATAAACTGCCAACTGAATGTTCCCATTACAAATTCTCCTATCCCTGGCTCTAGCTGAACATGGCTCTTCCCCAACATGTTCAGCTGTATTAAGCCCCACCTATTCTCTCTTAGGAAAAACAAGTCTAAGAATCATTAGAACATATTTAATGTCAAGAATATCCTAGTCTGTGATAAAGATGGAGACATATTTTTATCATTTTTTGTGTCATACCTTCACTCCTATCCTTCCCCCGCTCTCCAGCTCTGCATCCATCAGATCATGATTAACTTCCCACCAGTTGCTCCGTCCCAAGTGGGAACAGCAGGGAAGTTGCTTCCTCCTTCTGGCTAAATTGCTCTCCCTTTGGCTTAATTGCTTCCCTCTTTCCAAGACCCTGTCAGAAAGGGGAAGAGGTGTCAAACTGTAGACAAATCTACCTCACCATTGTTGGGGACACAAGTTCAGTAAGTCAAATCTTCCTTTCAGTCAAGTCATATTGACTGCAACCAGTCCCAAAAACTAATAATCTTTGCTTATTGATACTCTAAGCCAAAACATTCTCTAAACTATATCAGTTTAACACTTGGTTCTTATTTTCAAGCACAGAAAAGCTTAACAATACTCAACACAGGAAAATCTCCAAACTTCAAGGTGTGAAAAGAACTTTAGGAAAATCCAATATAAACACTCAAAATGTTACTCATTCAACTCATAATCACTTGAACTTTTACCCCATTATCCCACATTAATTTATTGTTTTGGTTTTCGGATAAAGTGGTATCTCTGCTAACCACTGTCATATAGTAGAAAGTGTGAATTACCACTAAAATTGATTAAATACTATACTTTCACAATAGACACAACTTTACATATCTTCAGTTCTCATTAAAGACAACTCTGCATGAACCATTTACATAAACATTTGGCACTCACCTGTTACAAATACACAAATATTTCACAACTATTTTTATAAAGGCTCAGTATATCCATTATTAAACTACTCCAAGACAGCTGTATCATTTCCAGCTATTACGATAGGCCAAAAATATAAATACTGATATATTTAAGTACTTCAGACCCACAGGTTTTTGTTCACATTCTTCAACTTTCCTCATGGATCCAGGATATAAAGTTTTGAGGTTTTTTATTTAAGCATATTTGTTTTATTTAATGGAATTACTGTTTCACTCACGCCAAAAGAAACTTTTTAAAGTGTCTGTTACCTGAAGAATGTATTAAAACAGTCATGCAATCCACTTAAATATTAACACACCTGTCACTTATACCTAGGCTCAGTTTTCATTCAAATACCAAAAACAAAATTCCTTAATAAGGAAATCTTCTACCACTACTTTTGAGAACATATTCCCTATCCTTCTCGAGAAAACAAGTATGTATATAAACACCTGCTCAACTATTCTCTACATCCAGATTAATATAAAAAAAAAAAGGCTAGGAGACAGGAGGTGCCAAGATGGTGGCGTGAGCAGAGCAGCGGAAATCTCCTCCCAAAACCATATATGTTTTCAAAAGTACAACAAATACAACTATTCCTAAAAGAGAGACCAGAAGATAGAGGACAACAGCCAGGCTACATCTACACATGCAAAAACCCAGCACCTCATAAATGGGGTAAGATACAAGCCGCAGCCCGGCGGGACCCGAGTGCCACCTCTACACCAACTCCTCAGAGGGAGAAGAGGAGTTGGAGCGGGGAGAGCAAGTGAGCTCAGGACTGCTAAATACCCAGCCTTAGCCATCTGCACCGGGAACGCAGACACACACTGCATGGTGTGCTGGATACTAGGGAAACGGGACAGAAAAATCTGCGAGTGGGCCACGCAGCAGGCACCCCTGGGACAACAGAAAAGTGAGTGCTCTTTGAAAGTCTTAAAGGGACAGTAGCCTCACAGGTGGACTGAAGCGTTCCTGCTCACTAAGCCCAGCAGCTGGAAATCCCGGGAAACTCCAGGCGACCTAACCCCTGGGTGGCAACGCAGTGCTGAGGCCCCTCAAGGCGATAAACAGCCTCCCGCCTGTTCCCCCAACAGCACAGCTCCACCATAGCGGAGTAGCAACCTGAGGCCCACCATACCCACATAAGCTGCCTGGGCCAGACTTAGAGGCCCCATCTCCACGCAGCTACCAGCAAAAGCCACTAGCGGTCACCTTTCTCACAGAAGAGGAATGCCACAAACTAGCAAGAAGGGACGTTCTCCCAGCTGAAACACACACCAACTCCCCACAACTACCTTTATCGCTATAAAAAGGCAGAAGAATTTGATCCAGACCAGACTAACAGAGACAAACCCTGAGAAGGAGCTTGGGGAGACAGACCTAAACAATCTTCCTGAAAAAGATTTCAAAATAAAGGTCATAACCATGCTGATGGAGCTGAAGAGAAAACTGCAAGAGCTAACAGACTAACTAGGGAGGGAGACTACAGAAATAAAACAATCTCCTGAAGGACTTAAGAGCAGACTAGATGAGGTGCAAGAGGCCGTTAATGCAACAGAAATCAGAGAAAAGGAACGCAGAGAAGCTGACACAGAGAGAGATAAAAGGATCTCCAGAAATGAAAGAACATTAAGAGAACAGTGAGACCAGTCGAAAAGGAACAATAACTGCATTATAGGGGTACCAGAAGAAGAGACAGAAAAAGGGATAGAAAGTGTATCTGAAGAAATGATTGCTGAAAATTTCCCCAAACTGGGGGAGGAAATAATCGATCAGAGTACAGAAGTACACAGAACTCCCAAAAGAAGGGACCCAAGGAGGACAACACCAAGACACATAATAATTAAAATGGCAAAGATCAAGGACAAGGACAGAGTTTTAAAGGCAGCTAGAAAGAGGAAAAAGGTCACCTACAAAGGAAAACCCATCAGGCTATCA